ACCAGGTTCAGGAGGTCCAGATAGACCAGGTATACCAGGTCCACACAAACCAGGTTCACTGGCTTCCGGTTAAATACCGCATCAATTTCAAGATACTTTTGTACACATTCAAGGCTACCCATCATCTCTCACCTTCATACCTCTCTGACCTGGTTCAAATCACCATTCCTTCTCCGTATCTCAGATCCTCCTCCTCTCTTTCTCTTTCCATCCCTTCCCCCACGGCTAGCCACCGTGGGGCGCAGGGCTTTCTGTTGCTCTGCCCCCCGTCTTTGGAACTCCCTTCCTCTTGAGATAAGAAACATCACTTCCCTCCCTCTATATAAGTCCAGACTCAAAACTCACATATTCACATTAGCCTATTCCACATAAATCTTTCCATCCTGCTACTTTAATTTATTTGATCTATTTGCTCAACGTTTTATCATTATTATTTTGTAAATTGTTATGTTTGTTGTTGTTATTGCTTGTGTACAGTGTCCTTGAGTGTTTTGAAAGGCGCTTTCTTAAATAAAATGTATTCATTCATTCATTCATTATTCATGAGGCCCAGATAGACCAGGTTAACCAAGTCCACACAAACCAGGTTCATGAGGCCCAGATAAATCAGGATCAGGAGGTCAAGATACACCAGGTTCAGGAGGTCCAGACAAACCAGGTTCATGAGGTCCAGATAAACCAGGTTCATGAGGTCCAGATAAACCAGGTTCACCAGGTCCACACAAACCAGGTTCATGAGGTTCAGATAAACATGAGGTCCGACAAACCAGGTTCAGGAGGTCGAGATAAATCCGGTTCAGGAGGTCCAGATAGACCAGGTTCACCGGGTCCAGACAAACTAGGTTCATGAGGTCCAGGCACACAAGGCAAACTAGGTTCATGAGGTCCAGGCACACAAGGCAAACTAGGTTCAGGAGGTCTAGATTAACCAGTCTCACCGGGTCCAAACAAGCCAGGTTCATAAGGTGCAGGCAAACCAGGTTCATGAGGTCCAGATAAATCAGGTTCAGGAGGTCAAGATAGACCAGGTTTACCGGGTCCAGACAAACCACGTTCATGAGGTCCAGAGAAACCAGGTTCACCAGGTCCAGACAAACAAGGTTCAGACTGTGTTTAATTTGATGGAGAGAAGCACAGCAGTAGTCTCTGATCTTGAGGTGCTAGATATCCTGGATTTAGGTCCTGGGAATGACTCCCAATATGTTTCTGTTCCATATCTAAATAATGTCACAGAACTAAAACTAAACTATATCACAATATATAATATATGATTGATTAGTATTACATGAAATGATGCACCTTTTCACTTTACACTGAAGTTACCTGATATTGTTAAATAAAAAGTTTAATTATAAAAAAGCTAAAGACTTTGTATTTTGGTTAATACCTACATTACATTAATATTTTTAAAGCTTTTGTTTCTTTTGGGTTTCTGCCAGCAACCGTATTTGACTTCAAGTTCTGCACTTTGTCTTTTTGACCATTTACCATTTCTCTGAGTTATCCTCAGTGTTCAAATGAAGCAGGATCAGAATCTGTTGTTTTAAAAGTTGCATCCTGCTGTTGTACTTTTATTATTCCAGATGATATTTTTCTATCCCTGCTGTGAGTCTAAACACTGAACATCTGAAGAGTTGGCGATTAAAAATGGAAACCGAACAAGGAGCAGTCTGTGTTTTGTTGCTTATGTCGGATTATTGAGTCCAAGTGCATTTTCACCAGAATAATCCAATCCAAACAGTTCAGCATCATTCAAAGACCAGTAATTCACAACAACAGTCAACTAAATATACTTTAATAAGGTAAAGACGACACAAAATTAGTCAGAGCACCTATATAAGCATCAATGGTGACAGTGGGAAGAAAAAACTAGAATAGAATAGAATGTCTTTATTTATCTTTCCAAGATTTTGGCCATGAAAGGAAGTTTAGAGATTGGCCTATAGCTTGAAAGAACATTTGGATCAAGGTTACTTTCTTGATAACAGGTTGCACAACAGCATGTTTGAAGGCAGACAGAACGCAGCCTGATAACAGTGAGGAGTTCATTAGGAGTAGGATACAGGTCCAATGATGTTCAGAGCATCCTTAATAATACGGGAAGGAAGAGTGATGTGGCAGGAGTTAGAACTTTTCAATGAATTTATTATTTCCTTAAGAGTCATGAGAGACACAGGCTCAAACTGTTGAAAGACTGTTGAGCATTCAGAATTTAGATTTTGGTTTGCTGCTGATAGATTTGTGGCCCTTAGTGCTGAGATTTTATCTGTAAAATAATTTAGGAATTTTTCACAGAGAGCTGGGGAGGCCTCCGTCAAAGTGGCAGAGGAAGGGTTAATCACTGAATTGGGGTTTGTGGCTATTAGTTGCAATGATTTCCGACAGGAAAGAAGCTTTTGTGACTTTAACAGCCTTCTGATATTTCAAACGGCAGTTCTGCAAAATGTCCAAGGAAATCTGGAGTTTGTCTTTTTTCCATCTCCTTTCGCCTCGGCGGCATTCACGTCTGAGATTGTGGGTGGATTCATTCAGCCAGGGTTGGCGATTAGGTTTAAAGCGTTTGGTCTTTAAGGGAGCCACAGTGTCCAAGATAGTAGTATATATAGATATAAAGGAGTTAGTGAGTTCATTCACTGGTGTAGTTGTCTTACAATTATCATCATAAAATGCAGAGTTAGTCAAGGCTGTGGAAAAATGAACGATTGCTTCAGGATTAATATTGCATACTTTGTACAGGAAGTCCTCACAGTTCAACTCCACATTACATATTTCAACATTAAACATAACCGGGAAGTGGTCCGAAATTTCAGCATTGCTGATATCCATAATGCAAATGTCCAAGCCTTATGACAGTACGAGATCAAGTGTGTGGCCTTTAATGTGCGTTGGTTTGCTTATTCACTCTGAGTGAGATAAAAAGGGTCAACGAGAGCCAGAAAATCCTTGACCAGCGGGTCTGATTCACAACAAACATGAATGTTAAAATCACTGGTAATAAAAATATAGTCGTAACTTAAAAAAAGATCGGCGAACTCACAAACAAAATGACATTTTGGCGGTCGGTACACAACAGCACAGAGGATCGAGGGGGCAAAGTTTAAGTCCAGTAGCTGCACTTCGAAGCTGGAGGGCAAGGCAGGAGGCAAAAGCCGTGCTCAGAATTTGTTTTTAAAAACTGAGGCTAGCCCTCCACCATTGCGGTGGAAGAAGTTCCGAAAGGGAAAAGGACTCACCTGGACGAATCCAGGTCTCCGTCAGAAATAAGAAGCCCCTGTGACCTGGTGTTTAGCACAGCCATCTGGATTGTGGTCTTATTGTTTCTTGGAGGACGCCCCGGCAGGCGTAGATTGCTGTGGTTCACGCCACCTCCACGGGCCCGCATCCAGCTCCAAGCAGGTAGAAAGTCAACCGGTAAGTCCGAGTGGGCATCCTGTCCGACATGGCGGGCGATGGCAAAACAGTCTGAAAGTAGACTGATCCCGGGAGGAAGGTAGGGGGCGTAAGATATCCGAGATGTCGGAGTAGTTAATCACTTCGTGTGGTTTTAAGTAGAGAGGTTGAAGAGTCTGGTGAAGATGAGGGTGAGCTGGTGGGCACACGGTCTTAAAACCTTGCCAGGTACCTTGTCTGGACCAGCCTTCCTGGGGTTCACTGCTAGGAGCACACGTCTGACATCGTGCTCCGTTACAGTGAATGGAGCGGTGCAGGATCCAGGTGAGGATGAAGATGGGAGCAGGGCCAAAGCAGATGAGTGCTGCTGTTGCTGTTTTTCAAAGCGGGTGAAGAAGCTGTTTATTTCCTCTGCCAGCTGCACGCTCAGGTTTTCTGTTTTCACAGCCTCTGTGGTTGATGATGTCTTGCATTCCCCACCACACCTCCCGTGTGTTGGTGCTGGACAGCTGGGACTAGATGCTTCTTTTGTGGTCTGTCTTGGCTTTTTCCCCTTTTCGGGTCAGGTCAAGCAGCCTGTACAGAGCTCTGTCACCTGACCTGAAGGCGGCATCCCGGGCTTTGAGGAGTGTGCGGACCTCGTGGGTCATCCAGGGTTTTTGGTTTGGGGAAAACCAGAATGCTTTTGTCCACAGTCATATTTCCAATACAGAACTTGATATCGTCCAGCACTGATCCTGTGAAAGTTTCGGGTCCTGGTGTTCAAATCTGTCTCAGTACACACAATATGAGATCCGACTTTCATAAGACATGAAAAGATAACAGCCATGCGGTTTCTAGATATTGAAATGAAAGTGAGGATAGTCATGGCCTATTTTGCAGTCCGAGTCCAACATTTGAGTATCTTGGGATGGTGTTCATGAGTGAGGGGAGTGGAAGATTAAGTGAAGAAAGGTGGACCCGCTCACTCTGGTTGCGTTTCACGCCATCCTGGGAGGATTGTTTCTTAGTCCGGAAGGCTCTCTGTGTTTGTGCAGAAGAGTCAGCATCTTATTTTACATTCTGATGAAGATTTCCATCCTGCAGAACATTTTCATCAGAAACCTCCACTCACCTTAAACATGAAGTAGTTTCAGCCGTGTCTCCCTCTCTCTTCCTTTTTTCTTTACTGTGTTTGGATCATCCAATAGCCTGATGTTTGTTGTTGCAACCTTTGTTTACTTCCTGACTGCGGTCGCCCTGCATTCAGTCTAAGAACTCTGAACAGATACTCTGACTTCATTTTCAAAGATGAAAGCTTCATGTGGGCATGAACTACAGACTTTGTTACAGTTCACTGGCTCTGTGTGTGTGTGTGTGTG